GCAGTATCTTTGCCTGGGTGCCCCTTGCCAGGCTACCTCTGACTCTCCTTTAATTTTCTGAGCATTCTCCCCTATGGGACGGTCAACCAGCTCTTTGCTTCCATAACACTGTACCCAGATGGCTCTCACGGCCCTTGACAAACAGTCACCAGGCTGTGGCTGCCATGTCCTCCCCAGCCTTTAATCATTAGTGCCTAAGATGCGGTCTGTAACAGGCCCCCGCTAATCAGGAGATGATTGCTGAGTGAGTCAAGTCCAGAGAACTTAAACTGGGGTGAGGGGACAGGGGAGATAGCTAACTCCTGCTCACTGTGGTCAGCATTAGAGAGAAGTTGACTACTAGGGCAAGAAGAGATGGAGAAGCTAATGGGAAACACAGAAAACCTAAATCATTCTCAACATCGCCCTCTGCACTCCAAGGCTTCAACAATTCAGTAAAATGGGACTTCTAACACCAAGTGGAAAAGCAAGTCTTCGGGTCTTATTTAAATCACGCAAACTACCTTTGCTGGAGAAAGATGGACTCTCCTGATCGTTCTGGATTAGTACAGGCTAAGTAATCTTTTCTAGCAGGGACTCAAGTAAGATGGACAGTCTGATGGACACACAGAGTCCTTCTCCACTTGATCACCAGGTCGTGAGCTGTAGTCCTATCTTGTGTTCCAAACATGTGTTAGCTCCCTTTAGGGGAAGCTACACTCCACCTTCCTTTAAAAGGGGGAAAAATCAGTGCTCCAGGGTTTAGTTGTGTCTGGTTTTTGAGGAGCCTGATTCTGAAACTGAATCCAGACAGTGTACAGAGCAGGTGTTGTGCTGACTTTAGCTAGGATCTGAGGTTGTCCTGCCTCGCTTTGCATTCCATGTGGGGGATGGTCAGCATTTGAGCCTCAAATTGGAGCAGGAAAACTACATTTAAAGAGAATGATGGGGGTGCCCCATGGCCCAGTTGGTTCAGTGTCCAATTCTTGATTTTGGTTCAGGTCATAATCTCAATTTGTGGGACTGAGGCCTGTATTGGGCTCTATGCTGACCGTGTGGAGCCTGCTTAGGATTCTCTCTCTCCAAAATAAATAGTAAAAAAAAATTTTAAAAAGCTGGTTTGTCAGCCTGCAGTTAAATACCATGTTCTGAGCAGTAAGACAAGAGGTAGAGTGAGTCCTGTCCCTCTGCCCTTGGGGATCTTGGGCAAATTAGCCTCAATTGCATCATCTGTAAGACAAAGGGTTTCTGTGCATGGTTTCCAAGGGAGACCTGCTCTCCCTTTCTCTGATGACTCAAAGGTGACTTCTGGGGATCACAGGAACAGCTCCCTGCACTTGACAAGCTAGAGGAGAGGAAACAGAGCCCAGAGTCAGATGTAAGAATGTCACCACATCCCAGGTGACATAGCTACATGCCTTCCGCAGATGAACCCATGCAGACTGACTGAAATGCTAGTATGACACGTGGTTGGACACCTGCATTACTTCTGTTTTTTAAACATTGCTGAGAATAAATCTGTGTCATCGTCTAATGGCGCCTGTCATTTTAGCGTAGTGATCATAGAGGACAAAAGGAAGTACTTTATGCGGAAAAATGGATAAGCTATAAAGGTATTTCTTACCCCAGAGTGCGAGGCTGTCTGGAAGATAATACAGATCTATCAATAATACAGTTAAAACAGTTTACCGACTTAACATGACTGGGTTCAGTTCACTGATCTTCATTCAAGTTCATAGTAAAGTTCTTTTTAACTATAGGCTGCGCATACCATACAGACCAAAGCATTATAGATTTTTCCAAATGTAAGTCTAAATTGATTGCGGCCAAACGTAAATTTTGTCAAATCTTTAATATACTCTATTAAGGCACGCATATAAGATTTTAAAGCTTTGTCTCTGAGTAGCTGGGACTAGAGTTGGACACAACCTAATAAAAATTACCTTGGACATGATAGTTAATCTCATCTCAAATAATGCACTTTGTTTTTTCAAATCCAAAAATGACAAATTTTACAAGGAGGGCTTGTAAAGGGGGGCTGATTTGGTTTCCCCTTGCTCCCCCAGAGTTTAACTTCTATTACATGGCCCATGGAGGGTGCCTGTATGCCTCATCCTCCATTTTCCTAGAACAAAATTATCTTTCAAAGCACAGGAGGAAAGACGCACCCTTCTTCCCACCTCTCGTTGTGGTAGGAGGGTTAAGAAACACCTTAAGATTGATTCACCCTGTTTGTCTACTTACTGATGTGACTACTCATTTTAAGTTATAAACCACCACGGTGGCTTATGTTGTATTTCTAGTGGTCAGTGCTGCTTTGCATCCATTTTACAGAGTGGAATTATAGCTCGTGTTCACTCACCTGTATATCTTTATTTTTCAAATGGAAAAAAAGGAGAAACAATGCTGTGTCATTCAGAAAAAAATAATAGATGTATAATGGATTTTGGAGCCTAGCAAGCCTGTGTCCTAGCTATAGGATGTGGGCAACTAACCTGAGACCCAACTTCCTCCTCTGTACAATGAAGATAATAACAGCTTTGATCTCCCAGGTTATTGTTAGAAGTGAGATGCACATAGGAAATAAACACAGGGTGTTTAGCACAGAACCTGGTATAGGGAACACTCAATACATTATTCCTGGTTATGTTTCCAGACCTTTCTGATGCCTGATCTTGATCTTCCTATGGATTTCTAACCCATCTCCTTATCTCGCTTCTTCTCCAAGTTCCTATTTGCTATACTACCTTGCAACTCTATACCCAGAAAGCAGAGATTTCCCCTTTCCTTGTCACTGGAGAATCTTGGGTCTGGTTCCCAATTTTCGGCAACTTGTTCAGAATAAAGTACCTTTAACTTATGGACTTGTGCTCATTTCAATTTCAGAGGAAAACTTTTCTCCTGGCTAAAACTGCAACTCAAGCCATGGTTCTTCGTCTGCTCTTGTGCCTTTCCTCACACCCCAAGATACTGGGACTTGCTTTTCACTGAACTCTGCTTCTTTAGACAGGAAGGTCAGTCAAGGACAGCTGATGCCAGGTGAAGGGGAGGAGGTAACCAGCTTAAAGGTCATGCAAATGGGAGCGCAAGAGAATAGGGCCAAAGTCAGGACAGAAGAACAAAGCCATAGTAACTTGCCCCACAGCCCTGGCCCCTTTTCTCACTGCCTTTCTTCCATTGGCTTGAAAAGCGGTGTTGTGTTCAACCCGAGTTAAGTTCAAGTGGGTTCTCGTCACCCTGCTAGATTCTTGCTGCCTGAAATATGGCTCCCACAGTGGAGCATAGCACACATCTATAACCCTGTGCTCAATTTCCATATTCTGGGAAATTCATCTTCAGATGAAGATGGTTGTACTTGTCTGAAAGGCAGTAGCAGAGGAGAGAAAAAAACTTAAACTTATGTGAAGACGTGTAGCTTCCCTAGGTAAGGGAGGCTTCCCAGCTGCTTGAGCTAATGAGATGAACCATTCAGTCAGAACTGCTTCGGATAAAAATGAGGAAAAATAACTTAAGAGCCCACCTCGGAAAGCACACATGGCTGGAAGTGTCTGTGCTTCTCAACGCGGTGGGGGATGGGGGGAGGTAAAAAGCCTCCAGTTTCCTATGCAAGTATTTAAACACAGAAAAATGAGGATTTTTGTTCTCCCATCCAGCAGCTGTAACTAGGTGATGCAGAAGATACTCTTGACTTAAGGTGATTTATTTTTTTTTAGTTTTTCCTCAGATCAATATGTTACTTTGCTCCTTTTATTTTTAGATTTATGGAGTGTGCTCAGGGGAAGCACACACAAAGGGAAGAAATTAGCAAGTGAGTTTGTGTTTCCAGCGTGGACTGAGGTTTGACAAGAGAAATCCTTAGAAATGATTAGGGGAAGCAGAGTTTCCAGGACCTTCTCTGCTGCCCGCTGGGGTTTGTGGAGGATTTGTGCAGGGAACTGGGTTATTTGAGGGGCAGAGGCACATACCTGGGGCTGCACAGACACCAGGGAGGGCGTGCTCAGGGCAGTGTGTATGGGAGGGTGCACCCTGGAGGTGTAGGCATGGCTGGTTTTCCTGGAGCTTTTATTAATGAGATATTTACCATGGATCAGAGGCAAAAAAGGATTGTTGCCAACCATCGCTTCCCTGTGGTCTCCTAGAAGATACAAAGGTTCAAAATGTGAATGAATTTTCCTTATTTTAGCGATCAAATTTAGGAAAAGGAGGAAGTATTTGACAATCCAAAACACAGCTTTAAGATCCCAGCTCTCCACACAGGAACTTACTGTCTGGTGTCCTGGCTTCAGAGCGAAGAGCATTATCTGCAGATTCCTGATCTTCCTTTCCTTGGAAGTTTTGTGTGTCACTGTAGATAAATGCTCCTCTGCTCTGTCAGAGGTCATAGAAATAGACATGACGGTGTAAGTTGGAAAGCAAACACGTGGGCACACAAACAGGTCCGCTCAACTTTTGATCTGCTTACGGAGTCACTGAGTGGTGTCCCTTTAGGGCATGATCATTTTGGAGGCCGTTCCCACTGTAGCTCAGTGCCGCAGGCAATGAGCACACTACTCGCTCAGCTTGAAAGGGGGGTTTTTAATTTCCATTGTTTGTGGGTAATTGTCTTGTCTCCCCCCCTCCATGATGGTGAAGAGATGATGTAACTAAAAATGTCTGTTTTTTCAGGGTGCTGTTGCAGATAGGAGCAGAATTACAGTTGAGCCCACATGGTAGACATAGGTTCAAAAACCATTCTCAGTGACAGGCTGTTCCCGGTTTTGTGTCCCTTGAAATTGAATGCAAAATCAGTGTGACTAAATATGCCTCCTGGTTACAAGGGACACCATTTCCATTTATCTTGAAAATATCACTGGGTCGACTTTAAAATACAAAGTGTTTCACCTGGTAGGACATAGCATAGACATCTATTTCCTTAAAACGAAGTGACAAAACTAGATTACCGGACTACGCAAAATGCTTTGCGCATATACAACAACGAAAACAGTTTTTGTAAATTAACAGCCATCAAAGGTATGTATTAGGAGTCGAAAGCATTTAATGGTCTTTCACACAGTCAACTCCCCCAGCCTTGAAACACTGTTGATTCTTTTCTGCTAGTGGCAAAAGAAATGGTCAAGCACAACACAAAAAACAGTAGCGTTTCCTGGCCAGGAAGCACAGAGCTGGGGAGCTAACTATTTTGTGTCTTTGGGTGGTGTTCTCATGCTGTTTGTTTCCGCCTCTCCTTTTGCCTGCTCAGGGCTCATTGTGGTGACCTTGGCTGTCTGCTGGATGCCTAACCAGGTGCGGAGGATCATGGCTGCAGCCAAACCCAAGCACGACTGGACACAGTCCTACTTCCGGGCGTATATGATCCTCCTCCCCTTCTCGGACACCTTCTTCTACCTGAGCTCGGTCCTCAACCCGCTCCTGTACAACGTGTCCTCGCAGCAGTTCCGCAGGGTGTTCGGGCAGGTGCTACGCTGCCGCCTGAGCCTGCCACACGCCAACCACAGCAAGCATCTGCGTGCCCGTGCCACCTCCACTGCGAACAGCACCCGCTCGACGCGCCGCCCCCTCATCTTCCTCGCTTCCCGGTCCAGTGCCTCTGCGAGACCGAACAAGGTTTTCTTGAGCACATTCCAGAATGCGGCTGAGCCAGAGTCCACGCCCCAGCCATTGAGTCTCGAGGCAGCAGAACCCAACTCTGCCGCGGGGAATGGTTTTCAGGAGCATGAAGTGTGAATGTCAAGAACGGAAGCATTAAGAGCTAACTGGCTCCCCCCAACAAAAGCAACAGGATCTTGACACACGTAAACTATGCCCCTATGAGGGACAGGAGTGGAAGCGACGGGCCGTGGAAAGAAATGGATGCCTACCTAAGGGTCTTCTCGCTGCTGATTCTGCCAGCCTGACCTTGCCTCAGGTGAGAGGGGACAGATGGGGGCTCACCCCTTCCCTTCCTTGAAGTACACACTGAAAAGTCAGACTGACTTTATTCAGAGCTTACAAAAACTGTTTTACACTGAGCTCTTTCATTTGCAAAGGAACTGAAAGAAAGAGAATATACTTGCCTCCCAACCCACGATAAAAGGACACCCAGGAGAAGCTCGGGGAGCCAGGGCCTGAAGGACAATGCAGGAGGGGTGAGCATCTCCGACTTCAGCAGTGAGCCAAGAGGAGGGCGAATTGCAGGAGCAAGATGGTGGTGGGGAGCCCTGGCCGCAGAGCCCAGGCAGAACTGCTCCGTTTCTTGGGCCGGGGCCCGTTGCAAAGAGGGGTGTTGCAGCAGCTGATGCACACTGAGTTCAGTTTCCCAGGGGAGCAGAAGGATTGGTACCCAGCAGAGGCGATGAGGCAGGCTGCGGAGGACGCACAGGACTTGCGGTACATGATCCCTGCAACACAACCCAAGGGGTGCAGTTAATTGCTGTTGGCCAAAGGACGGCTCATCCTTACTCCTCCCACAGCCCAGATACTTTGTGGGGCCAGCAAGGTACTTCCAGTTGTTTCACTGAGCACCTCCCCCTCCCCCACCAAAATACAAGTGAGAATGATGGCTTCTTCCCCATAAAGCTCCAGTAACTTTTGACACATTGTTCCAAAAGCTATTGGAGATGCCCTAATCAACAAAGAGCTATTAAAATCAAAGAACATTCACACGTTTCAACCTCTGAGCTATTAAAATCAAAGAACATTCACACGTTTTACTTACCTTTTCTTGTTGTAACTATCTCATGCCATGGGGAATGAAATGTTGTAATTTTATAAGTGATACAGAGATGGCTCTCACCTCTGTGTTAAATCCTAGAACTCTCTGAACTAATCCCCCGCACTGAAGGAGATCTGATTTTTCTGAGGTTTCAAGGTCCGTTACATTTAGTGAGGGGGTGGCCTGATGTTGACAGTGTACTGGGGAGAGACTCACTCATTGCAGGAAACAAGCTTTGCCCTCAGCATATATGGCCACCCACATAGTTAGCATCACACAGCCATCATTTAGTAAGATACTGTGTAGGCACATAAAGGAGCACATAGGATGCGTGTGAATTACAGCCCAGTCAGCAATTATGTTGTCCTGACTAATCATTTAAAAGTTGTTAAAGCTGGAACCTTACTCACTTCAAAGAATCCTAACTTCATTTAAAGGCTTTTTCATTTAAAGGCTTTCCTGTGTGCCAGGTACTCCACAGAGGGGTCTAGTTCATTTACTACCACAGGAAGCCTACAAGGGCGATCCCCATTTCATAGATGGAGAACAGAAGGGCAAAAGAAGTTTACAAACTTGCCAGAGATCACACTACTAAAAAATGAAGAAGCTGAGATTTGAACCTAGAATTCTGGCTCCATTCTGTCCATATCCTTACTAGTATATATACACAAAAGCAGCCGGCCAAAAAACCACAAAAAAAAATGTGTTTTGGGGAGAAGGCAGCATGAGGAAGGAAGATAAATAATATGTCCTGTAAAACTGGACCTGGAAGTGAATGGCTTTAGGTCGTGTGCTTCCGTGCAGCACTGAGGGCTTCAGCATATTCCACCAGGGTTCCTTATTTTCTCACTCCCTGCGAGGATGTGTGTTTGCAGGCAGTGCTTTGGTTTGCATCTCCTTCCTTCCACTTAGGAACTGTTGCTTGGGGTTATTTTGAATTAAGGAGAAAGGTAAAGGACTAAGCTACCTCAAACTTCCAAGGGGGAGGTTAAAGAAATACCTTAAAACATGCCATTTTAAGTCATTTTTGTTCTAGAGTTGCATGTTTTGAAAGGATGGATTTTCTAACAAACACTGATAGAAAATCCTAGACAGTAGCTGCTCTGGTAAGATTTATCGGGTAAGATAAAGTCCACACAGAGAGAATGTGTATGTGTGAGAGGTGCTGTTTGATTTCTAAGAAACCTGCTACTGGGCTTTGCCCATTAAGAGATTTCCCAAAGTTGCTACACTTTCTATCCATTGCCCATTTTAGGAAATTTTACTATCATTTGCTAGTTCAACTTCGATAAACTTTCTTTCCTTAAGTGATTTTTAAAAATTAAAAATACTTAAGATATTGTTTGGGGAGGGGAGGGGGAAGCTCGGTGAGATCAGGTGAAAATGCCCCCTGACCAGATCTTTCTCAAAGACAACCACTCTCACCAGTTTGGAAGGCTTCCTCCCAGCCCTGTTTCTACACATTTATATACCTGCCCATGGAAAAATAATGTGTGTGTATACAAACACACAGGTTTGTGACTGGTGTTACATCCTATATGTTGATTTACAGATAGCATTTTTACTCAGTGACATGGCTGGGAATTTATTTTTAAGCCTCACTCTGTAGGGCTAAGTAGTGATGATGAGGTAGGTTAACTAATGCACAAAGAGATCCCTGAGTTTGGTGACTTCCTCCCAGAGGCCATCTCAAGATCACCTGTTCTACTGGCCAGGAGAGCTTATGCTTGTGGTCCTGTAGGACTATGTATATATGTACGTATAATTCCATTTTTTAAAGCTGGTGGGTGAACGTCTGACTTCCAATCAGCCTGAATCTAGTTGCTGAGATCTTCCCCTTGAGGACATGGAGTGTTCCTGACGCATTCTCAATTACTGGGAACTATTAAAATAATTATAGGCTGCTCCTAGAAACACCAAGAGATAGAAAATCTAAGTATCAAGTAGAAGTCACAGAGTTGAAGAAAAGAACACCAGAGGATTTCAATAGCAGACTAGCAGAAGAATAGATCAGTGAACCCAAAGACAGGGCAGAGGCAATCACTCCATTAAAGCAGAAAAAAGAAAAGTGTAGGTAGCTTAAGGGAACCTAAGAACCCACATCAAGTGGCTAACATTCTCCTCTAAAACCCAGAAGACAACACAGGGACAGAAAACTTACTTGAAAATATAATGGCTGAAAACTTCCCCAACCTGAGGAAGGAAAGAGACATCCAAGAAGCCCAGATAGTTGGAAATAAGGTAAACCCAAACAGACACACTCCAAGACACATTATAATTAAAATGTCAAAGTTAAACGCAAGGATGGACTTAAACGCACCAAGAGAAAAAGAATTTCTTATGTACAAGGGAACCTCCAAGTATACTATTAGCAGACTCTTCAGCAGAAACTTTGCAGGCCTGAAGGGAGGGTCATGATAGATTTAAAATGCAAAAAGGAGGATTTGAGGTAAGATAACAGAGAAGTAGTGAGCTCCATACATTTTGCTCGCCCCCATCTCTCAAACAGAAAAGGCCTGAAGCCATAGGACACTGAACCACAGGAGTCTGGGAGGAAAAGGGACAGAGCCCACTAGGAAGACAACCTCATAAATGTGTGAGTGCAAACTGGGGAAGATAAAAATGGGCCAGGACAAAGCGGGAGGGGAGGGAACCCCCTTCACGAGGAACCACAGAGAGTAGAGGGGAAGAGAAAGAGCTGCTGAAACTGCTTATAGAACAGTCCTTGGAGAAGAGAAAAACCTCAGCTTGGGGCAGAGAGGGTCCTAACATCCCATCTCTAACTGCAGGGTGTTCAGAGAGTGATCCTTTTTCTAGCTGTGGTGCTGAATTTGGGCTGGGTGCCCCGGTCCCATTCAGCGCCAGGAGAAACTGCTCCACTGCTCTCCCAGATGGATCCGTCAGAGAAGCGCCCAGCCGGCAGGATTACATACCAGGCGGTATCAATAAAGCATGCAGACTAAGATCTGGAAATGAGGTGGGGGTTGAAACATAGATCAGGGCTCACCTTGGCTACACTCATGGCACGGGGAGATTGGACCCAAAAGAGTGATTTGCAACACGTGGTTAGAGAAGGGACTGGCACGCCACCATTCTACTCCCCACAACCACCAGGGTGGGACCTCAGGGAGCAGCCCCGCAGGACACAGTGGAGGCTAAGACTCACCTACACCGATCCACGCCCATCCCCACTACAGAACTTTTTTTTTTTTTTTTAAACCAGAGCCCAGGGCAATGACTGCCATGATTAAATCTAGATCAATTCTTTATATTCACATGTATTTTCCCTTGTCTCATTTGTATCCCTCCCCTCTGTTGGACTGGACACTCTCGTCATTGGTTTGCTTAAACAGTCCCCTTTAATCCATTCTCTAGATGTATATTCTACACCTCCACGGCTACCTGTCTCTCTCTCTCTCTCTCTATGGAGTAGTGTCTCTGAATAGCATTGTCTTCATTTCTTTTTTCCTCGCCTCCTACCATACTCTCCTCTTTCTCTCTTTGAATTAAGCCTCTTAATCTCTCTGCCTGGTCATTGTCCAATTTTGCTTTCTTCCCTCCCTGTCATTTCTCTCTTTCAATATGCTCTTCCATCAGCACTGCATACACCCTGCTATTTGTAGCTGGGAATTCTGGTTTTATGCTTTTAGACTGTCCTTTGTCTTTTGGGTTTTTTCTTTTTTCTTTTTCTTTATTCCTTTCAGTTTGCTTGTTTGTTAGATTTATCTGTGCATTTGCATGCCTTTGTTCCCTGTGTGTTTGTGTGTTTTCTTTTCAAGGGCTACCTCAAGAAACCAGCCAAAGTACACATGGTGGAGAGTCCCAAATACCACTACGAGTAGGGAAATAAAATAACAAAAGTCTCACCAAGAGACACCATTCAAAGCACACTTCCTGAATGGACAGGCCCTAGACAGTCAATGAGCCTTCTTTATTACAGCAGTACTCACAGGTGCAGAGTGCGTAACAAGCTTTTAAAACTAACAAAACATAGCAAGCTAGCCAAAATGATGAAACGGAAGAACTCACCTCTAAAGAAGTTCCAGGAAGAAATGGCAGCTAAAGAACTGCTCAAAACAGATATAAGAAACATAACTGAACAAGAATCTAGAACAATAGTCATAAACTTAATCACTGGGCTTGAAAAAGGCATGGAAGACATCAGGGAAGCTTTTGCTACAAAGACTATGGAGCTTAAAAACCGTTGTGATGAATTAAAAAATGCTATAAATGAGATGCATAATAAAATGGAGGTGTCCAATGCACAGATTCAAGAGGCAGAGAGGAGGATAGGTGAATTAGAAGACACAATTATAGAAGAAGAGGAAGCTGAGGAAAAGAGAGACAAACTGATCCAGGAACATGAAAGGAGAGTTCGAGAGCACAGCCATACAATCAAACGGAACAAGATCCATATCGAAGGGAATTCCAGAAGAGGAAGAGAGAGGGAAAGGCACTGAAGGAGCACTTGGACAAATTATAGCAGAGAACTTCTCCAATCAGGGGAAGGAAACAGACACTGAAATCAAAGAGGCAGAGAACTCCCCGCAGACGTAACCTGAATCGATCTTCTGTATGATATATCATAGTGAAACTGGCAAAATGTAAGGACAAAGAGAAAATTCTGAAAGCAGCTAAAGATAAAAGGGTCCTAACATACAAAGGGAGACCTATCAGAGTAGTTGC